CTTCTCTCTTTCCTCAGCCCTATCCTTAGCAGCTTGAAGGCCTTCATAGTCAGAGGCCTGCTTCTTCATTTGCTCCTCGAGCTTTTGCACTTGAGCTCTGAGGCTCTCATTATCAAAGGTCAGCTCAGCGACCTTAAACTCGTATGTCTTCAAAGCTTAGGTAAAGTCCTCCGAAGATCGGACCTTGCCCATCAAGTTCTTCAAATGAAGAGCCATTTATGGACAAAAAAGGAAACAGATATAGATTAGCATAATACAACCGCACCGAGCAAAGAGCGAGTGTAAAAATACTTACAGTGGCTGCTCTTTGGAAAGCTGAGCAAAAAGAGGTCTCAGGAGGCATGGTAGAGGCCCTCTGAATATCGGATTCAGGAAGAATGGATGAAATAGCCCTAGCAGCCAACTCAGCGTTGTCGAAGAATGAGTCTTCATCAGTCTCCTAGCCCTCCCTCTTTTCGACTTTGGGACTTCGGAGAGGCAGCTGGAATGTTTGCTCAGATGGTCCAGGGGGTGCAGAGTCTGGCTGAATTTCAGTAACCAGCCCCAAGGCTCCCTCAACCTCAGAAGAGGTGGGGGGAAGCTAGCCCTGGCTCAGAAGCCTTTTTGGGGGCAAACTAGGCCCCTTGAAAAGGAGAAGGGGTCAGGGATTGAGATGAGGGAGTTTGTTCTCCTTTGCTCAAGGCAGGAGAAAAGGGCACTCCCAGCTTCTGCACTTTAGCCCTGTCAACGAGGCTGCCTCCAAAGCTAGTCTCAGCCTTTCATTTGTCACTTTTTCTATTCTTCTACAGTAGCTCAACCTTAGCCTGGAGTTCCTCAGGAGTAGATTTCATTACGGAGGAGCCTGGGAGATTTGAACCAAACAAGCTAAACAGGAGAGAGAAAAAAGAAGGGAAGGCAAGGGAACCAACTCAGAAAGTATTACCTTATATGTCCTCAAGTCTAACAACTGAGATAGGGAGCGGAGCTTCTATCAATACCTTAGGAGGACTGAATCCCTGTGTTACTAAGACCAAGGGTTTGATGAGCTCGGAGTACTTCTCTGGATTACACTTCTCCAACTTTCGCTTCACCCTCTCGTCCTCAGCACTAAGCTCTAGTCGAATGCCTGAAAAACAATACAAGGAGAACAAAGGTCAAAAAGACAACTCGATAATTTCTAAACCAGAGCTCAATCAGTTCGAGTAAGGGCTCACCTTAGTTATCAGGGGCGGACCAAGTTTTAGGAATACCTAGAATATCAGTGTTGTCAGCAGAGTTGTACTCCACGTTGGTGCCCCCAATGAAAAAGATTTATTTTTTCCAACCCTTATGGGAGCTCAAAAGGTGAGTAATAATCTACCTAGCCGTGGTACTCTTTGAGATATATAAGAAACCCTCTAATGAGGTGAGCTTGACATTAAAAAGATCCACAAGCAAGGAAAGGTTGGGGACCCCGAGCCCATGTATCTTAAATAAAACAAGAAAACCCACAAGTACACCCCAGAAATTAGTGAGAGCTGAGCAGGACAGACGTTGAAGTGTTGCAAAATACTCTTGATGAAAGGATGCATAGGGAAGCGAAAGCCATGCTTAAAAGCGGCCACAAAGAAACATACTTTCTTATGAACTAGGGCAACATATAGGGTGTATTTATCTGAGCACCAGGGCTGGACACCAGGAGAAAAATCGTAACGAGCACTAAGAATTTTCACAAGAGGAAAGTCAACTTCACTGGGACCTACGAGCTCAGCATGCCTAAAGGCAACCCCTGTGCCCGCTACGCTGTCAGAGACTCCTACCCCACTCCCCTTGCCCTTACCTTTGTTAGGATTAGGGGGCACAAAAAAAGATGATGGGGGTGATTCCTCAGTATTTTTCTCGGCATCCACAACATCTATATCAGGGAAATTGTCGATTTTCTCACCCATATCCCCTAAATCAATGTCCTCTTCGGCAGACCTTTCCCCCAAGAGAGAAGCAAAGGAGCGAGTAGCTCTGAAAGGAGGAGACATGACTGGACAAGAGAAAGGCAAATTGAAAGAACGGTAAAGAGGAGGAATACTAATTAAGCACTCCCTGATAACCCTAGGGTCAACGCAGTAGCTTCTAACAGCAAGGATTCGCACGATAGAAGACCACTTCACGAAGTGGGGGAGAGGAGACAAACAGTAATTTCGATTCCAAGAGTAAAAGAATCGAAAAGCCTAGAAATGCAGTGGTCACCTCAAATTCGAGGGATCCAGTACGAGAAAAGGTGAAAAAGGGATAAAAAGACGTACCTAGGTAAGAAAGAGCAATGAACAATAGCCTAGAGCGAAATGGAAGAAAGAGGGCAATGCAAATCTTCAAATCGAACCCACAAAACTCGATCTTGAACGAGGAATCAGAGAACTTCAAACCAAAAAAGTCAGAAAATCACAAGAAGAGAGAAGCAGCAAGGAAGTTGAACAATGGAATAGGGCGGTTCAGATAGCCGTTTGAGCATTTAAAGCTTGAGAGACGTGAGCTAGAGCGTGCGTGGGAAATGAGGAAGCCATGAATGCTGAAAACTGTCAAAAAGGCCTCACTCACGTTCAAGCCAAGTTCAGCCATGTGCAGATCCAGCTTGGTTTAAAAAAAAAAATAGCTCAACCCCTGCCCAAGCCTGCTTGAACCAAGGGTTGGGGGGCAACTGATGATACCTCAAACAAACCCTAGCTATGAGGTCAGATCAGGAGATCAGGAAAGACACGGAAAACTCAAAGAACCAGGGGTAGAGCTCCCCTTGGGGAGATCGTACCAGAACCGACCAGGAAACAGCTGGATGACTGAGAAAATTGAGCCCAATGCATGAAACTCTCAACCAACCAAAATTCTCTCCTAAAATCAAGGAGGATTCCATGAATAATTGGCAAAGATCTAGACTGAAATCCCACAGAATAGGGAGCAGTCTTATAAATACTATGTAATGCCTCATCGAGAGGATAGGACCCTAGAAGAACCCTAATTAGATCATGCATTGTATTGTAATACATTCAAGCAATCAATAGAGAAAAAAAGGAGCAAGAGTCTCTATTAGAGAGTGGATTAACCGAGCTCCAGAGCCGTTGAACCACTATATTCCTACTGTGCAAATTCCTCTATCCCCTAAGAAACACCTCATCACTGTCATTATGAAGTTGGCAACCTAAATTAACCTTTGGTCTCACGCACTCTGTTCACCCAGATTAGTCTGCACCATTATAGACAATCTTTAATACATAGCTATTTTGGTCATACAATATTTATATTTTACATAGTAATTTATTTTTTCCTTTCTTTATTTGAAATTAAATTTCAAAGTGAATTAAAAAAATAAGGGGGAGAAGAAAGAAGTATGTATAGATTAGGAGCAAAACTATTGGGACCAAATCAGAAAACTAATTCAATGCAGCGAATTTTTTTTTTTTTGGAGGGGGATGGGGGAGGGGAGCTTGAACCCTTGACCTTAAGAAAGTAAAACCTTTGCAATGTAAAGAGTATCATTATACTAAAAACTCATTGGTTCAATGCATCGAATTAGGTCCAAATAATATTTTTCATATAGTAAAATGGTTGTTTAACATTATGAAGTATATTGGTTGAGTTGTTTGATATTGAGAGCTGTACAAAGAAGAATAAAAAAAATTGAGGAAGAAAACTTTTTTGGTATAAATTTTTTGGGATATTGCTAAAGGCTTGACAACCTTCTTCGATCATGATAGGGTTCAGTTCAATGACGTTTAAATTTCAATCTTACAAAACACTTTTTTCTTTCTGAATAAACAAATGTAGATTAGGTAAAAGTAAAGACCTCCTAGCACATGGTGCCAAAAGGATTTGATTTTTATGCCCAGATTGACTTTGAATGCACCATACAGCTCATGTCATTCATCAGCATAGCCAGGATAATCTTCGTACACATTGTTCATACTACGATCAACAACACAAATTTCTCAATCATGAAGGATCAGCTAAATGAATGTCAGATCGTGTAAATCTCAGCTAAATTAAACAAGATAATTTATCCTATTTTGCAACTTCTACTAAGATAATGTAGTTTTAAACTTATTTATTAATGTATGGTTTTTTTTTTTTTTTTGAATTCGTGTTTCGAAAACATGCTTTCAAGTTAAAATGAAAGTGTCAATTAAAGTGAATTTTTGAAACACAAATTTTAGGGTAAAAGCTTATCTTTGAAACACGTTTCTAATAAAAGAATAATGTGGAAATTGCGGCATAGTATTAAAAAAAAAAAAAATGTTTTTTATACTTAATTTAGTAATTTTATTTAGTGACATAATGAATCAGAGTTATTGAATTAATGGTTGGTCTCAATTAAAAATGGGGTTCAATATCAATTTAATGACAAAAAATAATAAATTCATCAAAAAAATTGAACGAAAGGGTAAATATGTGTAAAAGTCTTTGTTGAAAAATAAACATTATATATTTATATAATAAAATAGGAGTGTGTTTGAATTTTGTCTCAGTCATATTTTTCGCCTAAAAACCATCACCAATCACTTACTTCATCCATCATTTTTTTGTCAGATTCAAACGTCAAATCGCATCACTTATTTCTATCATATGTTTAATCATTTATATATTTTTTTCCTAAAAAAATCAAATTATTTATTTTTATCATATATTTAATCATTTAATATTTAATTAATTTATAATTAATATATTTTTAAAAAAATTAATATAATAGAATTAATTTTTTAAATAATTAAATTTTATATTTTATTGTGCCTTGGGCACCATCACGAGTAGTGTTAAATAATTCAGAACCAGTTAGACAAATCGGACCGATGTTTCCGTGTATCCTTATACAACCATAAAAAGAAACAAACTGCAAAACTACCTCCTTCAATTCGTCACGTCAAACGTCATGCAAGAACCAAACCTCAAATCTTTATATAAGCCTCCAATCTCCTCACTACATCGTACAAGTGACTAGGAATACACAAAAACAAAAGTAACACAAGCTTTCACTTTAGAGTACACCTTTCCCGGACTGCATGGGAAAGCCTCGTATCCTACTCGTCACCTTTCCCGGACAGGGCCACATTAATCCATCGCTGCAATTCGTCAAGCGCATTGCGGCAATGGGTGTTGATGTCACCTTTGTAACCAGTGTCTCCGCAGTTCGCCGCATGGCCAAAGCCACTCCAATGCAGCAGGGAGGATTAACCGTCGCTTCCTTCTCCGATGGTTATGACAATGGGTGGACAGGTATTGACGATGTCGAACACTTCATGTCTGAGCTAAGGACACGTGGTTCCCAAGCGGTGGCAGAACTCATCACAACCGGTGCCGCCAACGGTCACCCGTTTACCCATGTGGTCTACACCACCCTTCTCCCTTGGGTTGGACAGGTGGCTCGTCGCCATCACGTTTCAGCCACACTTCTTTGGATTCAACCAGCCACCGTTTTTGATATTTACTACTATTACTTCAATGGGCATGCTGACACCATTAAAAATAATAGCAATGACCCCTCATTTTCCATTGAATTACCAGGGCTGCCACCTCTTTCTGGCTTTGACCTTCCCTCTTTTTGGCTCCATTCAAATTCAAATGTATATAATTTTGCACTCCCATCATTTAAGGAGCATCTAGAGGTACTTGATGAAGAAACAAACCCTAAAATTCTTGTGAACAGCTTTGATGGTTTGGAAATGGAGGCCCTACGAGCTATTGAGAAATACAACTTAAAGGCAATAGGACCATTAATCCCATCAGCTTTCTTGGATGGAAAAGATCCATCTGACACTTCCTTCGGAGGCGATCTCTTTCAAAAATCAAGAGATTATGTCGAATGGTTGAACTCAAAACCCGAATCATCTGTGGTTTATGTATCATTTGGAAGCATATCTGTGTTATCAAAGCAACAAATGGAAGAGATTGCTTTTGGGTTGCTAGAAAGCCATCAACCATTTTTGTGGGTGATTAGAGCATCGGTTAATGGTGAAAAAGAAGAAGAAAAGTTGAGTCGTCGGGAAGAACTACAACAACAGGGGATGATAGTGCCATGGTGTTCTCAAGTGGAGGTTCTTGCGCACCCATCCGTGGGATGCTTCGTGACGCATTGCGGGTGGAATTCTACGGTGGAGAGCTTGGTTTCCGGGGTGCCGGTGGTGGCGTTTCCGCAGTGGACAGATCAGACTACAAATGCAAAGCTCATCGAAGATGTTTGGAAGACAGGGGTGAGGGTGGCGGCGAGTGGAGGCATAGTCGGAGGTGAGGAGATCAAGAGGTGCTTAGAGCTTTTGATGGGCAGCGGAGATGAAAGCAAAAAGATGAGAGAGAATGCTAAAAAATGGAAGGATTTGGCGAGAGAAGCTGTGAAGGAAGGTGGGTCCTCGTACATGAATCTTAAGGCTTTTGTGGAAGAGATTGGAGATGGCAGTCCTTAAAAATTCTTCAGAAAATGCCATATGTCAAGTTTCGAACATGTTCTTTTCTTTTCTTTTCTTTTTTTTTTTTTTGAATGGGGGTGTTATGTTGAGTAATGCTGTATTATCAATCAAACAAAACAATGCAATATGGACATAATTTGGGCATGTAATAATTATGATCATTTGATTATTAGCAATATTGAATACATTCTATTATTGCTAATTTAATTTAAGAGCAATGTCGGATATAATCTAAAAATATAATGATTGTGGTCATTTAATTATTAATGAGTTTCAAGAGTCCTAATGTATTAAATCCTTAAATTATGTCTCAATGAAATTACTCTTAGTTCAATAATCACAATGCATTAGGGTTAAAATTTTAGATTAATTACTTACCATATTAACTGTCACATCATTTAATTATAATTTTGTTATTTTTATTTATTGCTGATGTAGTATTATTCTTTGTAATTTGGCTCATATCTATTTACTATAATAAATGGGTCAATATGTTGTTGTCATTTTTTATTGTAATTCTCCTCTCTTTCTGATTTGAACAAAGAAGAGAGCAAATCGTGTACATACATCTCAACCTTTATTGATTTGAAACACTAACAATCAGAGTCACTTAGAAGGGCATGAATAGGTCTTCTAACACCCACTGATAAAAACAATACCAATTAAAAATTGTAGGTAGGCCCTTAAAAAATAATCTAGTACACAACGGAACCCCACCAAAAAACTTTGAGTACAATAAGTAAAGCAACAAAGAACGTCGCACAACAATTGAAAGAAACTGCGGCAATATTCTCGAAAGCTAAAGATATCGTTCTCTTACAAGGACTTTGATGCCTATGGCAATCAAGTGTAAGCCACGTAAAAGATATTGTGATTAACCGAATGCCCTTAGTTTGTCAGTAATTACGTAGCAGTTATGAGTTCAAATAATGTGTAATTGAAACAATTCTAAGTCTGCTTTCTCCTTTGTGCACAACAAATCTATTCAACAGATCATTCTGGTTTAGGACAAATACAGTGTCAAGTTACTTTTGACTGAGTCCATTTTTGGGTTAGGCTCCCCTCCAATTTTCAAGTAATTAGAGAAAAAAAATATTCCTTGCACTTAAAATATTGATTTGATCAATCACCACTGTTGAATAAGTAGTGGGTCACAATAAATACTAATCTCATAGTTAAATCAATGATGGTGATTAATCAAGTTAACAAATCAAGTCAGAATTTTAAGTTTATGTAACATTACTCATTAGAGAATCTTCCAATTCCTTGTGAATAGTCAAAATTTGTTCGAATTAGTAAATTCTGTTTATTTTAAATTTAATACTTTTTAAATAAAATAAGATTTGTTGATATTGATAAATCTTGATCATTGAAAAAGAATTACATGATTCTTCAATTATTTAACAGAGAGATTGGGAAGAGATGGTTGTATGTGATTGGCTATAATTGTAGCCTTTGTGTGTTTGTGATAGATAAAACAAAAATAATGTAACTTAGTCTTTTGGAATAATTTTTCATACATGTGTTCCATATTTTCAACATACATATAACTTTGCCACACTTTTATTCCCCCTATAAAATCAAATTGGAAGTAGGTGACAAATGCTGATAAAGAGCATATATATCAGTGTGTAGCCGTGAGTACATATAATTTCATATTGTTATGTATAACGTGAATGGTAGGTATTGAATTGAGTTAGTATATAGATATTGCCGTCGACCCCAAAGATCCGACAGACCAAAGGGTGATTGATGATACAATTAAAACTTGCTTGAAGACTTATTGGCATAACCTGCATTCCCACTACAAGTCTTTCAATACAGCGGAAGAGGCGTGCCAGCAGCCATTTGAGGGTGTCACGTTAGAGGACTGGGCCACACTATGCGACCGTTTTGGATAAGAGAGTTTTCAGGTATAAAGTTGTGATTAAAGAAAGTAATGGAGATAATTCGGGAACTTTAATTAGTTTTGAATATATTTAAATAAATTAACCATTGTTTTTATAGAAACAGAGTAAAATTAATTCGAGAAATCAAGCATGCCTGAAAATGAATCATGTAGCAGGGTCGAAATTCTTTGTTCAACTTCGTTATGAGAAACAGTTATTGTTTTTAATTCCTAATTTATCAAACTGTATGTGAGATACAATTCCATGTTAACCCATTTTGCAGCAAGATCCTTTTTTTTTGGGAGGGGGAGGGGGAAGTGGAAAGAATATAGACACTTGAACCCTTGATCTCAAGAAGACAAAATTTTTATAAGACAAGAAGTACCAAAGTGTATGATGATGCAGATTTGTATGAAGGGACACATTATCGACAAAAGACTGGAGAGTGGGTTGACCCAGAGTGTCCTGATATTTGGGCGATTGAATTTTTTTTTTGGTATATATTCTTTTACAGAGTCAGATGAATGAAATACGATCTCAACCCACTTCAAATTGTAGGCCAAGACGTCTTAGTGACGTTAGTGGTATGGTTCTTGGGTCGAAGTTGGGATATACCTGTGGGTATTATGCAGGGGTTAGATCGGGCCTGTACAATCCTGTAGAGGTGGAGGCAGCTACAAAGGGGGCTGAGATAGCTATGAGAGAAGCCAATGAGTTGAAGGTGCAAATGTAGTTTGTTGAGGAGAATATGAGGGCACTAGAGCAACATTGGGAGGAGGACAATATATATATATATATATATATATTTTTTTTTTTTTGTTTATTGGGGAGAAGGAGAGGGAAGGGAGAAGAGGGTTTGAACTCTAACCTCAAGAAGACAAAGTTTTCAAATGGTAACGAATACCATTGAACCAAAGGTCCATTGATAGATGTATGCAATACATGGCTTTGTTAAGTGCTTTCAAGTATTTGGTAGCACTACAACTCCGCCTTCACCTTCATATAAATGGTAAGCATTTAATTTACTTACATGTTTTCTTTTAATTATCATAGCATTAGATTTTGGGTAAAAATGGTCCGACCATAGCAATAAAATTATTGTAGCCTTCAAATTGCAGGAGCTTGTGTTGATATTGGTATGTGTTTGCAATGATGACAGATATTGTTAGTGTAAAAATATCAGTCACTATATTAGTTTTTGACCTTGTCTGTCGTTTAGGTGTTTGGAAAATTAAACATGAAAAAGTTAATGTTAATTTCGTAAAAAGAGTTGAATTAGCAATATTGTTTTCACTAAACCCTAGGATTCGAACAATTTTAATTTAACATGGAGGTAATTTTTTTTATTTTTTACGATTATGGAATTTTGAAAATGTACATGAGTGTTATGGTTATATTTGCTCTATCTTAACTTAAAATTATGCTAAGTTCATTGGGGCAAATGGAGGTTGTTGGTTTAGTGTTTAATCTGTTCAAAAATTAGTGGATGTATCGTTTGATGTTTTATATTGTTTTCTATTGAATTTAGTTGTTGGGTAGTTGTTTGTTTTGTGAATCTATCTTATTTTTCGATGAAAAAAGAGTAGGTTTTAAATATTGCCAAAACTAACAATTTTTTTTTTTTTTTTTTTTTTTTTTATGTTGGTTTGTTATCTGTTAACATGTAATTTGCTTTAACCATTATTGCCAAAACTAACAATAATTTATGCAACTAAGCTTATTTGTGATATTAAGTTGGTTTTTGTTTGAAATTTATGTCAAATGATTAAGATTTGGATTCATTACTTTTGTTTTGTTTCCCTTTCAGATTTGCTGAAGCCTCCTATCAAAGCATGAAACAAGTTGCAGAAGAGAATGAAAAAGTGGAGGAGTCAATAACTGCAGGTCAAAGACTATTGGTGGTGGCTGATTCTCTAAGGGTTACTAGATCAAAATCTAAGTTAAACTTTAAGATGACAAAGGAGAAAAAGCCTTATGGGTTTAGGAGGTATTAGATTGCATCAAAAAAAGTAATGGTGTTACAAAGGTAGAAGCTTTGTTTTATCATATGCCAATAAAGATGGGGTCTAGAGATAGTTTAGAACTCTACTAGCATTAGAGTAATTATTTATTTAATGTTGCATTATTTTGTGACAATTAGTGACAAAAATTTGGTTATTAAATACCAATTTTGTGTAACAAAAAATTTGTTAATGAATAACAAATGGTCGATGAAATTTTTTTCGTCATTAAAAGTATTTTTTTGTAGCAAAAAATAATTGTTGGTGAATAGCAAATTAGTGACAAATTTTTATCATTAACCAACAATTTTGTTCGAAAAAAACAAATCGTTGTTGAATGTTAACCTTTAGTGTCGAATGATATCGTCACGAAAATCTAAGTATTAACGACAAAAATTTAATTTCGTCATTAAATACTTTTCTAAATCTTATACGCCCACCAACTATTGGACAATTTTTTTGGTGGAGGTTGACTTTTGGTGACAAAATGTTAACATTAGATGATGAATTTTTTAGTCACTAAAACACTGATTTCTTGTAGTGTTCCTTAATTCCAATCCATTTTCCACAGAGTTATTCATTAATGAGTGGTGTTACAAAACTTAAATAAAACCCAAAAAGTTGTAACCTAAATGCATATCATTCATTGAATGAGTGGTTCTCATCAACTTTTTCAGTGGGATCCACTCATCCAATTGATGATATGCATTTGAATTTTAATTTTTGGGTTCCATTTGAGTTATATAGCATTTATCTATTTTAATTACTACAACCATTAAGAACTTTTTTTTTTCGGTAAGATGAATTATATTTATCAAAAAGGATCCATATGCAAAAGGTCTTCTCCAATTATTTTTGACATCCAAAGGACAAAAAGAAAGAAAGAAGGGCAAAGGGATGGTCTTCTAGACAAAGAAGTGGCATCACAATAGCAAAAGTCCATAAGAGGAATTCTCCAACCACCAATCTATGAGCAAGCACCCAACAACCAGAGCAAAACAGATCCCCAGCTCCTCAAAAGAGGTCAAGCAGAAAGCATGCATGGTCTAAACCGTTACGAATTTGATGTTTTATAATCTACAGTATTCTTGTTATACTTATAATATTCTGTATAAAATTTTGTTTGTGTTTATTGCAATAAAATTCTATTTATGTGTTCACTGCAATATTTGTTTTCAATCAGGCATACAATTGAACAGTTATCTAGAGCAGAAGTAATCCACTTTTAACTTTTAGTCATTGTGTATTGTAAAAAAAAATAAAAAGTAAAAAGTAATGCTATTCAGATCTAAAAATTCGACCTTATTTGTTAACTAAATGATATAGTTTCATCAGAGCATTGGATGAAATTTAACATTGTCACTAATATGTTTGGTGACAATATCAAACTTTCGTCCTAATCAGGGTAAAGTTCTATTGCCACTAACTTATTGGATGTAATGACATTGTTTTGATTGTTACTAACAAAATTTGTTTACTTTGAGTAACCACCTTTATAATCATCACTAAAAACTTGTTCAGTGACCATATTTTGTGTTGTCACTATAAAATTTTATAAGCATTTTTCTGACAAATTTTATACAAGAACAATTTGTAAATCTTTTTGACCTCCGAATTTTGATATCCTATTTTCACAATTGTTGTAGAGTTCAACAAGTAATTTGATCCTTAAAGTACAAATTTTTTGTCAATTTAGTTCTCATTATATCAATTTTATAAATTTAGTCTCTAAAATATTCAATTCGTGTTACTTTAATCCCTACATAGACGGATGGTTAAGTTTTGAATATAATGATCACATGTTAGGCACGTGATATTGTCTAAACAAATTTCACGTGGTCTCTTCCGTCAAAAATTTTTCGAATTATCTGATTAGGGACTAAAGTGATACAAATTGAATACTTTATTAAATTAATAAAATTAATATAATGAAGATTAAATTGACAAAAAATATATATTTTAACGACTAAAAGTGCATTAACCGAAACTTTTCTAAAAGTTGTCACTAAAAGACTCTATAGTTAGTGGTCGTACCTGAAAGATAAAATTTGCAACAACCTTCGTAAATCCTATATAAAATTGACTTATAAATAAAATAATTTAATCTTTCAATATCATTCGAAACAAATCAAAATTCAATAATAGTTTGATTATTAAATCAAAAATTTATGCAATTACCATAAAATTTTAAACAATCTGATGAATACTTCAGAAAAAAAAAAAAATAAAAAAAGTTTCATCGAGCAACAAAATAAAAAATTAACAATAAACTGTTTATCTTTGTTCCTTCCATCACCACGAGAAGATCTAAAGAAAATTTCATGAGGGGAAAAAAATGTACTTAGTGCTCTGGATTAATTATGGCCCTTTGAACATGATATTCTATCCTCATAAAAATGTCGCGGAGATAACCACTTTACTAAAAATTAAACACCATAATAACTGTCACATCTCTTTAATTATAACTCTTTAATTATAAATCACAAGAAGTAGTAAAAGTTTGGGCAAAAATGTCTCATAGAAACCTAGACTTGGTAATGTTTAGATATTATTTTCAAACTACTTTTCACTCTGTGCAACATAAGAAACAAAACTCCAACACTTATTATCAAGAGTTTAGAATGAGTGAAAACCAACCAAATGGTCATTCTAATTCATGATAACAATGTATTGCATTTTACACTCTTAGAAAATGTATTGTAGCACTTTTAGTATTTTTAAGGGACGTTTAACACGAAAGACTATAGATGACCGTACTTCAAGAATACTCAATTTCCACTATATATCATGAGGCTCATTTCATCAACTACTCCCCATTGTCCACAAGCACAACAATCATTATATGATTAAAAGAAAAAAAAATAAATCACCAAGAAGTATGAATCCTATGAAAAAAAATCACTATGCCCAAAAAACATAAATGTTTTGCTCTAAATGATTGCATCAGCTAAATAAAAGCTACTCTTCCAAAAACATTAGTTAGCGAAGGAGTTGTCAAAATTTGAATTCATAAAAATCTAAATTTACAATTCATTCATATTACCACATGGGCTACTTACCCTTTAGGGTTAATTCATATATTCATATTATGCACTAACTTGAATTATATTTTGGACAAAGTTATTTTTTCACAAACAAATTCAATTAGAAAATGGTTTATAATTTAGTCAAACGTACGCTATAAATTTTGTTGTCATTCTAAGGTCATCTCCACTCTTTATTCAAAAGTGAACTCGAATTTAATTTTGAATAAAAAATGCCAAAAAGCTCTCTACAACATTTGACCAAAATTTATATCAAAACAAGGAAACCTTTTTCTTGACCTAAATTGAGGTAGAATTAAACATTTTAGTCAAAATATTCTTCTCTTTGTCTTATGTGAAAAAGCGTTCCAAGCCAAAACTTCATCAGCATTACCAAAACCTATTCAGCTTCGTCAAATTTCATCAACCTCATCAAAAAAGAGGGAAAGAAATCTAGGAGGGGAGGAAAAACAAGAGGGAAAGAATAGAGAAAAGAGAAAAGGGAAAAATTTAAAGAAATGAGTTTTTGAGACAATATGAATTTTTTTTGAAAATATTTGAATTTAAATTTGGTTTTATCCGTTGGAGGGATCCATACCAAATTAAATTTTTTACTCATTTTTTTTTTCTTAAATTTGAGTTTGAGTTTGAGTTTGAGTCAATACTGAAAATGCCCTAATGTGTTGTAGTGTTGTTAGAAATCACATGTCCACTTTTTCTTTCTCCTTTAATGTTAACTAAACAATTAGTATATTTAGTCGCAAGGCATGCTCAATATAGAAGAAAGTCAAGCAACTGCTTAGGGCCCCAAAAAAGAGAGGCTTCAAAATTTTGTTATTGCCCTTATTCTGTTGCTTGAATTTGGCCCAAGTACTTTTAGGATTCAAAGCCCAAACAACTACAAATTCTAAAAAGATTTCTTGTCGATTGGTACCCTGTATACAGGACTTGTTTGCATAAAAAAAAATTTAAATTATTTTCTGGAGAAGTTCTTTTCTATTTTTTTTTGTTCCAAAAACATGTGATTCATAGCTCAATAATTTTGTGATTGGTTATTTTTAATAATCTAATTAATTTTGATGTTGCTTGTTGTAGGTTTGTTGGCAAAAACTTGAAAAAAAATAAAGGCATTGTAAAATTGTTGTGGACTTCAGATATGATGTGAAGTTTAATTGCACATTGTTTAGTTATTGAGAACTAATATAACTACGAAAAGAAAGGGAATTGATAGAAAAAAAATGTCATTATGACTATCTTTGTTGTTGTATTTGGCACTTCTGTAATCGAATATATGTATGTGTAATATGTACAGACATATATCGAAAGAAATTATTGGGATATATAAAGAAATCCCCAGTTTAGTCCTTGACTAATAATGTTGATATGTGTACTAATGGTTGTGTGTAATTGTATATTATCTTTATAAGTCTAATTATTGTTGTGTTATAGAAAATGATTTAAATATTCAAGTACTTCATAAGGTATATCCGAATTTATGGTGTGCATATGTGTGTCAAAAACTGATATAAGGTTGAGCTTACTTTTTTTGAATATTTTTACAATTATTGATTTGATATTTAGTTCAAGTTTTGTTGGAGGCTAAATTTTTGTGGTACAAAGAACAAACAATCTTTTTCAAATTGAAAACTTTAATATGAAATAATCCACGTGCAACGCACATATATATCAACTAGTTAATTAATGTGTTATCATTTTCCCTTCAAAAACAAACTACAAAATTATATTTCAAAAAAATTTCATGAATACTATGCGAATATCGAGCTTGAAGTTTGGGCAAATATGATACCCACTTGGAGATGTGCCTCTAAGATTTATCACGAGTTTTGTCTTAAATATACTCTTTCTTGGCAAGGACTTATTCCAAGGCCAACCATAGTCTCTCTAATATAAATATAGACACTTCCTTTTGAGAGAAAATAATTCTAAATCCCATTTTCTACATTTTTCTTT